CGGCCGGCTCCCCCCGCGCTCCGGGGGACGGTGGTACGCTCCTCGCCGGGGCCGCGAGCGCGAGGCAGGGTCGCGCCCGCCCCGCTGCCCGAGGGACGAGGAAGGCGCGCACCGGCGAGCGCTCGACTAACGACGGCGCGTGCGGGAGGAAGACGCGCGGGCCTGAGGAGGGGAGAGGGGACGGGGAGGGGAGGGAGGGGAGGAGGGAGGGCGGGCCACCAGCAGAGAGAGGCAGCGCCGCGCCTGCGCGCTCGGTTCCGCCCGCCGCTGTGGGCGCGCCGAGGGGGGCGGGCGGCGGGAGGAGATGGGGGCGGAGCTTCGGGGAGAGCCAATCAGATGCCGGGACGGAGCGCTTAGGTGACAATCCGTTCCTTCGACGGGGCGGTGCCCTGCATGGGGGCGGGGAGAAGTGGGTGTAAGCAGGAAAAAAAAAAAAAGAGTGACGTCCCCAGTGACTCCTGTCTCCGATTGGTCAAGGATTTTGCCTTGAGGGCGGGCATTTAGAGGGTTGGTGACTTGGCTGAAGAAGACCAGCCGGAGGGGGCGGCGTGCCTTGGTTGCGCGCATGCGTAGGGTGCACGTGCGCCTGCTCGCCAGGACTGTGGCCTGGTAGGCGGTTGAACTTCCAGCGAAGGGGAAAAGACCGTGTTTGGCCAGCTGTGTTCAAGCCTGTTCCCTCCCTGCCCTGCTGTTGGCTGTACTGGCGTCTTCTCTGATCTGGAACTTTTGATGAGGGACAGTGGATTAACACTTGTAGTTCCGTTTATGGAAGGATCTTTAACAAGGCAGCAGCAGATGAGTGAAAGGGAAGTGATTATAATTGCGTCCTGGATGTGTCTACCGGGGTCAGGTTAAATAAACCTGACCCGCCAACGCCAGCTTTTGTGAGATGGAGAACGGCTGGGAATGTGATTTAATGGTAGAGGTTAACAGGCGCGTGTCAGCGCTGGGTTCCATCCGCAGAATCACAAAAAAAGAGACATCAAACAACCAACCAAAACTTCTCATTTTCCTGAGCCTGCACCCTATTTGCACATATTAAGTGCAACTGACTCTCCAGAGCAGAAAGCTTCTTGTCTGCTTGGGGGAGGTTGATTTGAGACCTGGGCCTCACGTAGCCCAGGCTTCTCTAAACGCCTTACATAGAAAAGAATCTATTTCTGATGGTCCTGCTCCACCTCTCAACTGCTCAGAGTACAGACATGCACCACCGTGTCTATGTTACTTGATGCTGGGGGTTTCCGGTTCTTGCTGGTCAGGCTTTCTACCAAGGAATAACCCAACACAGGTGTTGGGTTTTTGTTGTTGTTTTTAATACATTCATGCACCTGGAATTCCTTCTGTTTGAGTGATGGCAACAGTTTTGGGCTCCTATCTTGGATATGAGCACAGCGGAAGGGAACGACCACAAGATACAAAAATGCGAATCAAAAATACCGATGTTTCCACCTGACCTGACTTTGGGGCCGGAAGAAGCAAATGTATGCTTCTCTATGAGAAGTGTGGTCTAGGTGTCCTTTTACACTTCTGCTTCCTCTTAAAAGTAGAGGGGAAAGCTGTGACAACCACTGAGGAAATGATTCAGACCTAGGTCTGTAGCCCTGTGGTAAAGAGAACCCATCCAGTAAATGGAGAGTTGTCTCTTCCATACCAATTCCCTCTTGTCTTGCCTCAGAAGTCCTACCCTAGGCATGGCTATTGAAGTTCTGAGGATGTCGGTGGATTAGTCAAGGCCCTATAACTGCAGCCACCACTAAGCAGACTTTTCTCTTTCTTTCTTTTTTGTTTTTGAGACAGGGTAGCCCTTGCTGTCCTGGAACTCGATCTGTAGACCAGGCTGGCCTTGAACTCAAAGATTCACCTGCCTCTGTTGCCTGAGAGCTGGGAGTAAAGATGTGTACCACCATACCTGGCTAATAAGCAGACATATTTCCTTCACCTAGGATGGTTCCTAGGTGACTTCCTTTTGTGACACCACCTAGCTTCCTGTGGTATTGGCCAAGTTCAGCACTGCCCAGAACCACCAGCTTTGCTTACCATTTCTTATCAAATCTTTTTGCTTCCTTTGTTTTCCTTCTTTCTTCCTCTTTCCTTCTTTTCCTGCCCTCACCTGCCCCCTTCCCCATTAAGACAGGGTTTCATGTATCCCAAACTAACCTTGAACTCCTTAGGAAGATGGAGCCAAGGATGATCTTGAACTTCTACCTTCTAATTAGCTTTTCTTTCTTTCTCTTTTCTTTTTTAGGATGGAGTCTCACTATCTAGCCCTGGCTGGCCTAGAACTCACCAGTATCTCCTTGCCTCTGCCTCTCTCTGCTGGGATAGGCATGTACCACCTGAGATTAAAATCACTTTTTACAAAGTTTGTTTCATGTATCCTTTTCTCTTTGTTTAAAAGGATATTTATTCCATGCATGTGTGTCAGTGTGTGTATGTAACTACGATAGCGGATCTTCTGGACCTAGATTTAAAGGTCATGGGATCCACCTGACAGTACTAGGAAGAGAACACAGGCAGTCCCCCTGCAAGAGCAGTGGCACTCTTATGCCCGAGCTGTCTCTCCAGCTGGATTTCTCTCTTCCTTAAATAAGGTCTTTCTGTGTTACCCTGGCAGGCCTTCAGCTAACACTCCTGCCTCTGTCTCCAAGAGTGTTGAGATTGTAGACCTACACTACCAAGTCTTTTTTTTAATTTTTGGTGATGGTCAGGTGGTATAGGTAAATGTGGGGGGCTGTACATTCATGATTTCGTTGGAGGCCAGCGGACAACCTTAGGTTCTAGGCCTCAAGTGTGATCTATTTTGTTTTGTTTTTCATTTGTATAATTATGTGTGTGATCTCAAATGGCATGGCATGTATATCGAGGTCAGAGGGAACTTGCAGGGATCTAGAGGTTCAAACTCAGGTCAGGCATGGCAGCAAGCACCTTTTCCACAGAGCCATTTTGCCACCCCACCTTGTTTTGGGTTACAGAGTTTCTCACTGGGCTTGGAGCACACCGATTCAGTACACTGCCTGGTCAGTGATCACTAGTGATCCTCCTGTCTCTGCCTCTCTAGAACTAGGATTACAAGGGACCCTGTAACCAGCCAAGAAGAGGGTGGCAGATAGACTTAACAAGAGCAACTCATGGAAACAGCTGCTGTTGGTTTCAGGGCCAGAGAGTCAAACAGGAAGGGACCAGTGTGAACTAACTACAGGTGCCACAACCACAAAGACACCGGCCTCTCTATCAGCCTGACCTCAATTCCTTACACATGACGGAGTTTGGGCAGTATGCCATCAGTCACACTGTAAAACACAGGAGAGAATTTTGCTGCATCAACCCTTGGCTGCACTTCCTTCTCTGCATTTGTTCAAGCCATTGATTCCTTCAAGACTATCATGTATTATTGATAAGGACCCATTTATTTGTATCTAGATCATGTCTTTCAGATTATTAAAGAGTTGAAGGCTCTTTACTCAACTTTGAATAAAGCACAGTGTCTCAAAATGAGTATAATGTATATAAATATATAAATAATACATATAATAAGGAAGAGGGGAGGGCAGGGAGATGGCTCCATTAGTGAGCAGCTTGCCTTGGAAGCGTGAGGCCCTGAGTTCAGCCTCCAGAACCCATGTAATAAAGCTGGGAGCACAGTACCCCCATTCCTGCCATGAGCACCCCTTCGTCTTCAGCCCCCATCTCCAAAGCACCCTTCAGCTCTTGTGGGAATCTTCACATCCACTTTCCAGTGTGTGAAGATCTTCTCTTGTCCTTGCGCTAGGTAAGAGGAAGTGATTGACTGAGGCCATTCCAGTGTTTCTGCAAGTCTGGGAGGAGGTTTTGT